GGTTCAGCAGAGACAAACCAAGAACAGCCCGTGATGCTGCTGGACCCCAACAGAGCTCCTGCAGAGCTGGGAGTGGGGTCTCTCCCAAACAGACACCCCCCTGGTGACCCGCACCGCTGGGAAGTGCTTGGGGACATCGGGGTGAAGCTTTGGCCACCCCACATCCCCCCGTCACCCTCAGCCACGGGCACCCCCATAGGCTGGGGCAGCAGAGATGTGCCAGGGGGTGAAAAATGAGGCAAAATAAAGGTGTAAAACACACCGCAGGCACTTCTGCTGCTCCCAGACCCAGGTTAAGAGGTACTTCACATCCCAAATTTGCAGGGGGATGGGGCAGGCACCCCCAGGCTGCAGAGGGGATGTCCCCATGTCACTGAAGGGAGCAGAAACACCCAGGGCAGGGCAAAGAGGAGCCACAGCCTCACACACCACACCCCCACAAGTCTTTTGGGACAACTCGGAGATGAGCAGCACCAGGGGCTGCCCCATGGGGTGGCCAGATCCTTCCCACCACTCCTGAGGTGCCTTCTTCTGGTGCTGAGCCAGAGAGGTGGGAAGAGGGGGGCCAGGGCAGCATCCCCACCAGTCGCTGCATGTCTTCGGGGACAACGAGACCCCAAAAAGCAAGGGGTGAAGCCCACAACACCCTCTGGTGACCTCTGGCACAAGGAAGAGTCCTCCACGGTGGCAGTCATGGCACAGCGAGGTGACACCAGCACCGCAGGGCGAAGGCAGCACCCACAGACACCCCAATTTGGGTTCATTCAGGCTCACCCCAAAAAAGGCATGGAGCAGCTGAGCACCCCCAACTCTGCCCAAGCCACTCTGGGGTCTTCCCAGCACTGGTGGCTTCTTGGGGGTCCCCTCTCCTGGAACGAGGGGTGGGGAAACCCCCACTTTTCCTTCCACAGGCTCCAGCCCCTTCAGGAGGAGACAATATTCCAGCAGAGTCATTCCAGCACCAGCTCCCTCCCAGCTTTTCCCCCAAACTTGAGGCAGGAGGAGGAGGAGGAGGAGGAGGAGGAGGAAGAGGAGGGAGCAGAGCCTGGTCAGGTCATGTAGCGGGTGACGGCTCTGAGGGCGTAGAGCAGAGCAGCCTGCATCCGAGCCTCCAGCAAGAGCAGGTTGATGTGCACCTACGCAGGGAGAGGAGGGGGTGTCAGGGCACAGGGGGGGTCAGCACCCCCAAATTTCCCTGAGGGAGGGGAAGGGATGGGGCAGCACCTTCTCTGAGTGCTTGAAGTGCCTCCAGAACTGGGTGTACATCCTCTTGGTCGTCTTCTCCGGGTAGCAAGCCACCGTCTTGATGTAGATCTTCAAGCTGCGCTCCAGGAGCTGGTTCACCTCCCCGTAGTCGTAGTCATCGTAGCTGGGGGAGGGAGCAGGGATGTGACCCCAGGCACAACCCCTTCACACACCCCGGGGGGGGCTCTTTCTGGCCTTAAGCCGTGCCCCCCAACAGCATCACTTTGCCTTGGTCTAAGCAGCAGCAAGAATCTCAGCAAGATCAAGCTGCAGGTGCCAGGTTGGACCTGCTCAAGGGCTCTACCTGAGGTGGAGAACAAGCTCTGGACGTGGTTTGGGGACCTACCGGATGCCAAAGACGCAGTGGACATAGTTCCAGATGGCCCTGCGCAGCATGGAGGTGTCCACGCCACAGTGCATGGCGATGGTGTTGTACGTCAGGTTGTAGACCACCTGGAACTTCTCATCCAGGAGCTGCCCCACGTCGGGGTAAAGGCGGTTGATCAGGGAGAAGCCGTGGTCCTCCCAGGTGTAATCCTGCAGGAGAAAGGATGCTGGGGTAGGGGATTGATGGGGAAACATGGGGTCCTTTCAAAGCCAGGAGGACAAGCTAGGGTGGTTGCTGTCCCCGTGTTGACCCCTCAACTGTTAGCATCTGGTTGCACTGCTCAGCACCAGCCTGGTCCCAGCCCTTCACCCCCTGCACCCACACTGTCATAGGATCACAGGATCCTGCCAAGAGGGAATTTCCCATGTTCCAGCTTGTGCCTGTTGCCCCTTGTCCTGGCACCAGCCACCACTGAAGAGTCTGGCCCCAAATCATAGAATGGTCCGAGTTGGAAGGGACCTTCAAGTTCGAGTCCAACCATCAACCTCACACTGACAAAGCCACCACTGACCCATGTCCCTCAGCACCACGTCTGCCTGGCTTTTAAATCCCTCCAGGGATGGTGACTCCACCATTTCCCTGGGCAGCTTCTTCCAAAGCTTGACAACCCTCTTGGGGAACAAATTTCTCCCAATATCCACCCTAGACCTCCCTGGCACAACTTGAGGCCATTTCTTCTTGCCCTATCGCTTGTTCCTCGGGAGAAGAGACCAATCCTCCCCTTGTTACAACCTCCTCAATGACCCTGGGAGCAATAGACAAGCAGGACCTGCCACCCAGCTCCCTGCCACCCCGTCCCCTTGGCTGGCACGGGACCACGAGCACCCACCTGCGCACGGAAAGTGGGGGGTGCCTGCTCGCCCCTCCGGGTGAAGTCCTTGTAGCCAAACTCGGGGTCCTCCACGAAGCAGAGGACGTTGGACTGCAGGGAGTGATCCGTGATATCTACAAGGCACCACGGCAGGGGCCATGAGAATCACATGGGGTTGGAAGGAACCTCTGGGCGCACGGAAAGTGGGGGGTGCCTGCTCGCCCCTCCGGGTGAAGTCCTTGTAGCCAAACTCGGGGTCCTCCACGAAGCAGAGGACGTTGGACTGCAGGGAGTGATCCGTGATATCTACAAGGCACCACGGCAGGGGCCATGAGAATCACATGGGGTTGGAAGGAACCTCTGGAGATCATCTCCTCCAACCCCCTGCCAGAGCAGGTCCACCCAGAGCAGGTCCCACAGGAACGTGTCCAGGTGGGGTTTGAATGTCTCCAGAGAAGGAGACTCCACCACCTCTCTGGGCAGCCTCTGCCAGGGCTCTGCCACCCTCAAAGTGAAGAAGTTCCTCCTCATGGTTAGATGGAACTTCTTATGTTCCAGTTTGTGCCCATTTCCTCTTGTCCTGTCCCTGGGCACCACTGAAAAAAGACTGGCCCCATCCTCCTGACACCCACCCTTGAAGTATTCATAAGCATTTATAAGAAACATGGTGTGACCCCAGAGAGACCCAACCCTGCAGCTGGGGGCCTGATCCCGCTGCACCACGGGCAGATGCTGCCTCCTTCCCCCATCCCCTGTGACCCCCCCTGAGCCCATGGGGGACCCTGTCCCCAACCAACTGCACCCCTGCACCTCCTCACCCGAGGGAGCGACCAGCAAGCTCTCTGTCTTCTCCAGCTCAAAGCGTGTTGCCATCTCCTCCTGCGTGACACCTTCCTCCTCCAGCTGGCTTTCCTGCAGCAGCTTCATCCTCTCCATCAGCGCCTCCACCTCCTGCATGGCGTCCTTGCCCTGGAGAAGCAGAGATGGGGCAAGGTTTCAGAGGGGTTGAAAGCCCAGAGGAGTCACTCTCAGGCTCTGGTGTCACTTGGAGCAGCCCCCAGGGCTGCCCTAAAGAACATCTGGAGGACTCAAGAAGGTTTGTCCTGCCCAGACCTCAGATGTTTCCACACCTTATCCCAAGGGCTGGAAGGGATCCCTGTGGAGGATGCTACTGCACAGCCCAGCCCTAAAGCATCTGCTGGCCCCAATAAAAGGATAATTGGAGCAATTCCCAGGCAAAGCACCATAAATCATGGAATCCCAGCTTGGAAGGGACCTCAAAGATCATCTGGTCCAACCTTTTTTGGGTCCAGACAAGGTGGCCCAGCACCCTGCCCAGCGGAATCTTACAAGTGTCCAATTTTGGGGAATCCACCACTTTCCTGGGTATATTATTCCAATAAAACACTCCAGCATCCCCCCCCATGTCCTCCCTCCCTTCCCACCCCATGTCCCCACCTCTGCAAGACAAAGCCTTACCCCAGAGCTGTCATCAGAGGCTGGGCTGCTGTCGCTGTGGGGCGAGGGGGGCCGGCAGCCGTGCCCCCCATCCTGCTCCTCCTCGGGGTTGATGCCGCAGCCGAAGACGAAGGAGGCGAGCGAGTGGTAGTGGGTGAGGAGCACCAGGGCTTGCACCAACTCCGCCAGCGACCAGCTGTCCTCCCCTGTCTTCAGCAGAGCCTGCAAAGCCCACGGGGTTGGAGAGACCCCCCCCAAAACCCCCATCTCACTGTGCCGTACCCCCCACCGCACCCCACAGCTGGGACAAGCCAAGGGGGGGGGAACAAGTCATCCCTTAACCATCCATCAGGAGTAGACCTTGACCTCCAGCTCCCTCAGCCCCAAAAGGGTTAAACCTGGGGGGGTTTGTCCAAGCAAGGATGTGGCCCCTGGGGTCAAGACCCCAAAACCAGAGTGGTTTTGGGGGAGGGGGTACGGGGGGAAGGGGGAGGTCCACGCCGGCAGCATCATCTCTCACCTCGATGTGCTCCTTGGTGATGAGCCAGGGCCGATGCGCCAGCAGCTTGTTGATCTCGTTGAGGTTCCTGAGTTTTTGGGGGGCACAGTGCAGCCCCTGCAGCCAGGCTGGGTTGCCCCCCACCTGCAGGAACTCCCCCATGTGCAAGCCCACCAGGTAGGAGCACTGGTGCCGGGCTGCTGCCTGCGGGGAAAAGCCAAGAGTCAGTCCCCAACACCGTCCAGGGGGACCCCCAACCCTGCTACAAGCCCTTGGAGAAGCCAAGGCAGGGAGCCATCCCCCCCACATCACCCTTGGAGGGTTCTCCCTGGGGAGGAGAGCCCAGACAGGGGTCTTTGTCCCCCCCCCAACCCCCATCAGTGCTGTTCCCCAGGGTCCCTGGAGGGGAAGGGTGCTGGGGGGCACCACGGGACCAACCCCAAAGGGGCTTCCAAGCCATTGGGACCACAGGTTATGGGGTGGTGACCCTCTGTGGGGTCCAAAACACCTTCCCACCCCCGAGTAAAAACCCAACGGAGGTGCTGGGACCAGAAATAACCCCCCCGGGCCCCCCATCCTCACCATGATGGCGATGTAGTGGCGCTTGTGGTAGGGCAGGGGCCCGTCCATGCGCAGCAGGAGGTACTGGGTCTTCCAGAAGCTGCTGAGATACTGGGGGTGCAGCCCCATGACCATGGTGATGTTGTCCCCCCTCCCCGCCGAGACGAAGGCCTCGATGAGGAGCTGCCGCCAGCTGCTCTCCGCACCCTCCTGCAGGATCTGCCGGGATGGGGAGAAGAGCAGGGGGGGTGAAGGGCTGTGTCTTGCCCCCCCTCTCTTCCCAACAGCCCCCCAAAAACCTAGAGAGAGACCTCCCCCCCCCAGCCCCCCAAAAACCCTA